GCTGTGCCTCACCTGAGCAGGTGTTGAGGACCAAACCCCCGAGACACAGAGTGGTTACAGACACCAGAGCTGTGCTCCAGAGGAGTCCTGTGGCACTGACAGACTCCTTAAATCATCCTGTCCGAGTCCACCTTAAACATGCCCTCCCTCCCTGCAGTTTTCCTTCGGGATAATTAAGCATTCAGTAAGTTAAGAAGTGGAAAAACCTGAGGAAGCATCTGTTTCACGGGTGGGTGCAGCTGTTTCCTCCAAGGGCTTGTTCTCCTGCAGTTCTGTGCAAGCCCGTGCCTCGCACAGAACTGCAAGGCACAAAAGCTCCTGGTACAAATGCCCCTGGCCCTGATGGTGACTCACACTTGTATCTAAACATCCAAATTTTGCAGTTGTTAAGGGTCTCAGGGGATCACTTGCTGTCATGCTGCAGTCTTGTTGCATGGATGTCCTTGGAAGTGCTGAGTTTCTCACTGTTCATCTGTTCTGAAACAAGAACATGTTTTGATAAATAGGGTTTGGTGTCTTTCCTCTGGGTGCTCTGGGCTGTAACTCTGGCACTGCAGAGGTTTGCATCCTGCCAAGATCAGGCTTCAGAGTGGCATTTATTTTTTTCTAGAAGTGAACATGTGCTTTTGCTGGCAACCTCTGTCAGAGCACCAACTCTTTCTGAACTTACAATGTTAAGATTGTTTATATATATATAATATCTACAAGGACATCAGCAGCCACCTCACCCATCCCAAGTGTCACATCCCTTGATAAACTTCAACATCACAATAAATCCTCAAATACAATAGTTCCTCCCAGAACTAATATAATTGTGGATTTCACAAGTCAACTCTGCAACCATGGGCAAAATTTGTCCCCTGCCTGACATCCCTTTTGCTGTGGGCACAGCAGTGTGGTCTGGGGGCTGTGTATCGGGCAGGCTAGGCAGAGGGATTCCCAGCTCTGCTGGAGCCAGCAGGTGTTTCCCTGCAGTCAGCATTTCATCATGGCAGGGCTGTGCTGGAGTGAGCAGGGGGTTGCTTTCCTGCCCTTTCCATCCACACGGAAGGGAAACCATTGCACCCAGGTTGGAGTTAGACGAGGTGAGGCACTGAGCCTTTGCTGAGCTCTGGTGCTGCATTTCTGTGACACTTTCTTTGGACAATTTAAAGCCACAGCTGATGCACTTGGACAACAGAGACAGCGATCTCAGAAGGCTGTTCAGGAGCTCCAGCTCTTCTTCACGTATTAAAGGGAGCCTAGAGAGATTAGACTACAAATGGAGATGCCTTAATTAATTCTTCTCAATTACACAGCATGGATCTGACCCTAAATATCCTTCTAGACACACTGAATTAGTACTAACTTAAACTCAGGTCTGGAAGAGCCCTTCTCAGCTGTTAGTTCTCTGGGAACCATGTTGAGCCCCAAAAATATCCAGGGCTGTTTATCTGTCTTGCCCCAAGACACACAGACCAGCAGAACTCCTTCCCAGCCTTGCAGCAAACACAGACCCTTGAGAGACATTGGTGGGTTTTGTTGTGATACAAGTAATAAACCACAGATGGAGAAAACACCAGTGGCACTTGAGTCCCGTAGCCCTGTACCAGCAGGAGGGAAGTGAAAGGGCCTAGCCCAACTTAAAAATTGCACTGTATCCTCAGACTGGCACAAAAAGCAGGGAAAGGACTCCTCCATGGCCCTGGATGTGGCACTTGTGACCAGCCTGAGTGTGGGAGCAGGATGCATCAAGCGGGCAGCACTAGTTGGGTAATGACCAAGGAAATGGAACCGTGTTTCCGACCATTGAGTAGGATGGGTCTCACCATCTGTGTTGGGCCTGGTTTGTGTTTGGTGTCATCAGCTTAAAAGAGTTTTATATCATCAAGTCGAAGGAGTCCCAAATGGGAATGAGGACCTGTCATCCACCCCAGAGGTAACTTTTGCTGTGAGAACACAAACCTGCTGCAAGGCTCCAGAGGCCACCAGTGTGTTCTGGGGCTGACCAAGCAGCTCTGGGACAGGAGACAGTTCTGAAGTCACTGAGGACTGGGTGAACACAATTCTCTGCACCATGCTGCTTGTAGCAGCTTTTATTTTGGCTTCTGCAGGCAGAGGGACATGGGGAGAGATCCTGCTGAGACAAAAGACTGTGTGTATGCTTGCCTTCATTTCATTTTATTCTTTGGCTTGACATGATTTTTAATTATTTAAATATCTGTTTTTCAAATAACTATAAATCCAGAGAAGCTGCTGGTGGGCATGGGGGCTGAACCCAGAAGAGTGTAACAAGGTGTGTTAAACACCCACTATTCTTTGCTTGGGGGAGATTTTAAGCAGGGTTCACATCTTCATCGCTTCACTTGAGGCAGCTCAGGCAAAAGGAAGAAATAAAAATTGGTGTTACCTTGGGTGCTTCCTGCCTTTGATCATTCTGAGCACTCAACCATCATGTTCTTCTTTTACCTCTTGGCATGTCCAGCGGGGTTAGCAGCTCAGCTCTAGCATGAGGGGTAGTTTTGTTTCTCCCAGTGCCCTACGAAAAATCTTGCACAATGGGTGGAGTGAGCTCCCAAAATCAAGGGATCTCCAGCTGATACTTCTTCACATCCTGCTCCTATAATCCAAGAGGTGGCTTGAAGGATGAACAGGACTGAACTTAGTACGTTTTACTGCCCTGGGAAGGTGGAAGCATTCAGGTGGATTATGATGATGAGAAGCTTGGAAAGGATGATTTATAATCGAATTATTCTTTACTTTTGTTGTAGGTTGAAAACTTAATCAGCCATCATAATGCTGGCTTACTGCTGAATATTCCCCACAGAACTCCTGATAAGTGAGTGATGTTGGGATTTTGGCTGAACAGTTCATCTGAGGTCACACAGCAGGTTTATGTTAAAGCAGAATTTGGAAGATTGCAGTTTGAGGTGCAGCTGCTGCTTCTTATACAATCAGAGAATGATGGAATGGTTTGGGTTCGAAGGGAACTGTAAGTTCATCCAGTCCCACCCCGTGCCATGGGCAGGGACACCTTCCACTGTCCCAGTGTGCTCCAAGCCCCATCCAACCTGGTATTGAACACTTCCAGGGATAGAGCAACCATAGCTTCTCTGGGCAACCTGTGGCAGGGCCTCACCAGCCTCACAGTGAAGGATTTCTTCCTAATACCTAATCTAAACCTGGCCTCTTACAGCTTAAAGCCATTCCTCCTTGTCCTGTCGAGGCACAAAGGGAGATGTCTTATTATAGCAGAAGGAGGAATGGATTGAGTAACACATTTTAAAAAGCCACAAATATACCATCTTCCCATCTTCAGGGGCCCTGGAGGGGTCAGAATTCAGCTGGGGTTTATATTCTTGTGGTGTGAGAAAATGAGACCAGAAGTGTGCAGCACTTTATCCCTGTCTTGTTTACAAGCAGCAGGAGAATGTCCTGGGAAATGTGAGCAGCTAATTTTAGGTGACAACATAGTTCAGGCCCTCCAAAAGGAGAAGGAATGTATCTCCAGCCAGACTGCCTGGAGCTCCAAAGTTCCTGAAGGCAGTGGATGTTTATGGCATCTCCAGAACCTGAAATCTTTTTTGTGCAGACATAATCATCTGGTGTGCCACAAGCAGAGGGGGCTGTCATGGACATGATTGTGAAATCCCCCATCTCATGGAAGAGGAGAAGCTGCATCTGGGGTGGTTTGCACTTTGCTAATGCTCTCCAGCCCCAGACCCAAGGGGATTTCCAAATGCTAATAAATTAAGGATCAGAATTTTCTGTTTATAGTAGTGGACACACAGGGAGCGTGGAGGCTGATCTGGTGTTGCACAGGAACCTGAAAGGACCTGGATGAATTGCAGGGCTTGATTCCCAGGTAAACTGCCCTACCTTGGAGGCAGGAAGGAAAGAGGCTGAATTTAAATAACCCACTACATATTCCCTGTGGTTTTTTCCATCTTCTTTCTTGTTTCCCAGCACTCAGCTGGGACGGGGATATGCTGGGGCTGCATTGCACAGCGCCTGGGCTCCCGGCCCGGCTTTGTATTGGCCCAAAGAAGGTACAATTCCTTGTAGCACTTCTCCCCAGGAAAGCTTCCTGACCCTAAGGAAAGGCTCCATCTTTCTCAAGTCACTCCATATGTACAGAGGCTCTTGTCCAAAATCGGACTGCTCTGTCCCACCCCGGCCAGCAAGGACTAAGAGTGCCCTCTGCTGCACTCCTCCTTCCGTGGCAGTGCTCTGATTGCTCTTCGGGCATAAACAAAACCACTCCTTACTACAAAAAACAAGTTTCATGTTCTAAAGGTCTGCCGTGCTGGCTGTGCACAAGCCTGGTGCTGTATTTCAGCAGCAAACAGAAAGGATCATGACCCCAAATAAAGATGTGTGTGATCCTGCATCCCTCCCAAAGCACTTTGGAGAACCTCTGCCCTTTATGAAAAACTTTGATCCAGGAGCTTTTCATTGCCTTATAAAATAAGCAGCTCCTCATGCAGGAGTTCTAATCATGCAACGTTCATTCCCCGGAGCTGACAGGTGATGCACAGCCAGATGTGACCTGACAGCACCGAACCACCCATCCCTCCCTCCTGCTCAGACTCTGAGCACCACAAATCTCTGTTTCATCACTCCTCAGCCCTTGCAGCCAAAAAGGAAAAAGGGGGTCTGTGTCAGGAAAGCTGAGCCAAGTTTCATAATCGGAGCTAGAAAGAGGAAAATTTTAAAGATAATAGTCCTGCTTTTACTGGGGTTTGATTTACCCACTCGGAAAGTAACCGAGCTGCAGGCAGCGGTGGCAGCCCCGCAACCGCCGTAGCCGCAGGAACACACTCGCGTTCCCTGAATTTGGGCATTTTTTGTTGCACCCTTTTGGGCTCCGTTCCAGCCTGCTACTCAGCGCGGGGCCCGCCCCTTCCAGAGGATATTTAAAGAGAAGCTGATGCACAGCTCGCTCCAGAGAGACGGGAAACTCCGCAGGAGAGGGCGGGGGTAGCCGGCAGTGTGGATCCCCGCCCTCGGCAGCGCTCGGGATGCCGGGCAGCTTGGGCACAGTGCCCCGGGCCCTGCTCCTGCTCCTCCTCGCCCCTGGCTGGGTACGTACGGCCCTGCAGCAGCTCTGCTGGGCACTGCAGCTTCTTGCTTCCGTGCATGCGAGGGCTTTGGGCTGAGAGACCCATCCCGCCGACAGCTGCTCCCGGGTTTCCGAGGGGGGAGCCGGGCTGGGAGCAGAGCGATGCAAACGTGCTGGGTACCTGAACCACGCTGGGGGCTGCCCCGTGTAATGTGTGGCATCTCAGAGCTCCTGGCACACGGGAATGGGCTTTGTTTCCTCCTACTCCTGGAAGCCAGAAATCGGCCCTGGTCTAGAAGCAGGAGAACAGAGCAGAGAGAGGGGAAGGCAGTGAGTTTGTCATTGCAAAGAGTAACAGTCTCATATCCCAATTCCCTCCCATCACCACTCTTCCCCATCTGTCACTGAATCCACCCATGTGCTCCCAAAAGCAGTGATCCCAAGGGGAAAATTAGACTGCATCATCTCTGGAGCAGAATTTCTGCCTGTTTTCCTGTTAATACAAGTTCTTGAGGGAGCAACTGATTCCTCTGTGGATATTTGAGTGCTGTTCTTATGTCAACAGCATCAGGAACATCACTGCCATCAATAAATTGCTGTAAGTGCTTTCTGGCTCAGTGAAACTGGGTTCACAGAGCCCCTTGCAGGGCTTGTTGAGGCGCTCAGTTCCTGGTTGGGAAGCTCTGTTGGATTGTTCCTAGCAGTACTTAGTGTGTGCCAGCCCTTTTCCTGCCAAGAACATGAGCTGGGCTGCAGTCTAAGGGAAACAGCTGCCATTTAGAGTGGGCATCTTGATTCTTACTCTGGCTCAGCTGTGGCAGCAGCACGTAGCTCATATAAACCATAACAAGTAATCCCACCACTGTGACTCTTGGTTACCACTCTGAGACAGGTGATTTTCCCTAAACCTCAATGTCAAATGCTCAGAAAGGTGAGTTTTGACTTTCTTTAAGCATTAGGTTGGATTCAGTGACCTTTGATGTCTTTTCCAACCTTAATGATTCCGTGATGCTTTGTGGATAAAGGCAAAAAATGAGAGCTGTTACTCCTGCATCTCTCTTCTGTGTTGTTCAGAGGTGGGAGTAGCTTCAGGATTACTGTGAGTTGTGTTGAGGCTCATCCTGGGCAGGTGTCTGTATCTCTGTGCCCTGTCTGTGAAGGGGGTCCCGGGTTCTTGTCTCTGCAAAGGAGCTGTTATACGTGCTGCAGCAGCTGTAGGAAGGCATCTTTAGAGCCTGAGATGAAGAGAGAGCAGAGGTTATCCACAGTCATTTGGAGTTTGAAGGATGAATAGCTGTGTTTTGGCTGCTTAGTCTTGGAGCACTAAAAGAACCAGCGGAGTGTTTATTACATCACCTTTGCCTTGCAGCATTAACCCCTGGCTCCCAAAGCTCTTTGCAAACACCCAGCTCAGCTCAAAATTCACCTTTTCCTGTCCTCTGAGTGCAGTGGGATCAAAATGAGCCCAAACATATTTTAAAACATCCTCTTTGGTTTGGCTCCCTTAGCTGGTTCCCTGGGCTCCTGTAGACATTGGTCAGGAATGAGAAATCCAGATGGTGACACGAACCTGCTGCAGTGGTGGGAGCTCACGTTGCAGCACTGATGCCTTCCAAAAGGTGCAGGGGAAGAGGTTTTATGTAAATACGAAGCAGGAAGAACGTTCTCAGTTTTTCTTACCTGCAGGTAACTGGGTTTGATTTTGGCAGTTAGGAGGGAGCTTGTTCTGGCTTGTCAGCTGAGCAGGCAGCTCTAGGGAGTCAGAGGTGGAAAACACAGGGGAGTAGAGCAGAGCAGGGGAATCCTCTGCTCTGAGTGGTGGCACTTCTGCTGTGGCTTGGCCATCACTCAGGGGTCCTGGAGGTCCCACAGCTTCACACACAGTGTGATGGATGCAAGAGCTGTCAGAAAAGCCAGAAGAGCCAACATTCCAGGCTTTAAAACCTTCTTAAATCCATGGCCTTGATCTCTGGTTCTGTTCTGCTGCTCTCAGCGTTCACAGAAATGCTCTGCAAACCTCAACAGAAGCCAGGTCAGGGTTGTCGTGAGCTTGAAGTCAAGAGTATGCCCAGTGAAGGCAGAAGTGAGTTCTGGGGCAACCCTTTCTGCAGAGGCATGGATGTGCCAGCCTGGTCAGAGAGTAAGAAAACTAGATAAGTTTTCCCAGAATTTGCTTGTGAGACTTTAGGGAGCTGAAGATAAACACTCTCTGTTTTCATGTTTTTCTCAACAATTGTTTGTAAGAATGACTAATTAACAAAACACCTATCAGGTGAAATGTATTGATTATTGACCAATCTGATCTATCTGTATTGGAACAGTGTATAAAAAGAGAGAATTCAAAGTGAAGTGAGGTGCTGTGCAAACCAGCCTTCTGGTGAGTCTGTGTCATTTCTTACTTGACAGTGACAGATGGAAGAAAATGAAATATTCTCTGAGTTGAATCCCTCTGGACCCAGGTCAGTGGCAGGTTATGTGGAAATATTGGGCTTTGTGTTACCTTTGGGTCTGCAACAAAGCCCTGAATTCCAACCCTGGCAGTTCTTGGGAACGATTTATGGAGTTCTTTGGGGCAGTTCTAGGGTAGTTCTTTGGGCAGAAGAACGAGAAGCAGCCCTTGGAAAGAATGCAGGGTGAAGGGTGCTCCATGCAAAACCAATATAATCCACTATTCACCCTCTCTGAAAGAAAATTCAGTAATGGAGGGCTCAAGGAAGTTGGTTGAACATTGACTTTTTCCCACTTGAGAGTCTCCCTGGCCAGGCAGTGTTTCAGTGCTCTGGCTGTTGGGTGTGTGTGAGCTAAACCCCATTCCAGCTCATTCCCTCCTCTTCCAGGCCTTGGAGAGCAGCAGGAATTATAAATAGCTTTGGCTGACTTTGCTCAGCAATAAAACCAGCAAACAGGAGTCCCAACACCTCCTGGGCAATGGAGGGAGACACATCTGGGCCAACTGGTGGGAGCATCTGGGAGTATTTAGAAGGGTCCTGAAAATCATGATGAATTGGGCTTTTGAGCTGATGCTGGGGGAGCTGGGGTACAGCATAGGTGGGTGCAGGGTCACCAGCTGGGCTCTGATGCAACAGAGATCTGAATCCAGATGTTCTCCTGCTGAAAAGCAGCTATGATACAGTGAGGAAGTGAGGCTGCTGTGAACAGAAGGTAAAACCAGGTGAGCTGGTTTATATGGGTGAGTTATTAAGGAAATAACTAGTGCCAGCAATCATTAATGAGAGTGGGGAAAAAGCCCCACAGAATTGTAGAATCATGGACTGGTTTGCATTGGAAGGGATCTTTAAGATCATCCAGTTCTGTCCTCTTGTCATGGGCAGGGACACCTCCCACTGGACCAGGTTGCTCCAAGCCCTGTCCAACCTGGGCTTGGACATTTCCAGGGGTGAGACAACTCAGTTTTTATTTAAAGCTGTTGCATTCTCTTATCCCCAAAGAGCTTGGTTTGGTTTGCATTTCAGCAGGAGAACTATTTTGGGAGTGTTTCTTTCTATGGCCTGTGGCTGACACTGCATTGGAAAATGCTTGTTATCATTATTTTTTCTTAAGTGCATGGATTACGTCTTAATATAGATCCCACATTAGGAATGCTTTGTCACTTGTGTGGTCTCACACACCCACTCCAACTCATCTGGGACTAAATAACATGCTGCTTGGCATCTCCAGCAGCTGGAGCTGGAAAAAAGTAGGGAAGATTTCTGTATTTTTAGTTCTTTTAATGCACTTCAGCAGTTGGGAATTGATTCCTGGGACATGCCAGGTTCTGGTGAGTGGCTCCAGGACAGTCGGCTGGGAACAGCTGGGCTGCAGGCTGGAGAGGCTTGTTTCCAAAATACTTAGTGCTAGGAGTTATCCAGGAGAATTATGCTGATTCCTGCTGAGCAGGGAGTCTCTGGAAACACTCGCCCCTTGGGACCACCAGAGGGAATGGCTGGAGCTCTTGCAGGAGTGGCTTAGATGGATATCAGGAAAGGTTCTGCCCCAGAGGGTGCTGGCACTGCCCAGGCTCCCAGGGAATGGGCACGGCCCTGAGGCTGCCAGAGCTCCAGGAGCCTTTGGACAACACTCTCAGGCACAGGGTGGGATTGTTGGGTGTCTGTGCGGGGACAGGGCTGGACTCCATGATCCTTGTGGGTCCCTCCCAACTTGAGATATTCCATGACTTTGAGGGAATATTTAGCCCAATCCCACAGTGCTGTGTTGGTGACACAGCTGTACAAAGAAGGTTGCACATTCTGACCCCACATGACCTAAAGTCAGAGCAACAGTAAAAATAGCTGGAAAATTTTTCCTGCTCTGATTGGTGACAGACACAATATTCAAGGAAGCTATTTCACAAGTGAGGGCTGGATGGGATCCGAAAAGTGCAAACAGAGCCATAACAAGATATATTTTTTGACTTGTTCCAGGTGTGTGTGCCCCTCCCTGCTGCCCTCAAGGCTATTACCAGCTCAGCTGCTGCTCTCCTGGGGTGACAGCAGAGCTGTGAGGGGTCTGCCTCATTGTATGCTTCCCTCTCCACCCTGTTCATAGCAGTGCAGGATCCCAGAGTGTTTTGGTGGCATCATCCATGTGCCAGGGTTGTGGGAGCTGAGCTATGTCCATAATAGTGGAGTGGTGCATGGAGCAGGGCAAGGGGGAATTTGGATGGGTAGGATCTGAACAGTAAACCAGGCTGCAGCTGGTGCTGGTGTTTCTGAGGAGGTTTCAGAGGATCTCTAGAGACCACACGGTCTGCACTGTTCACAGTCAGGTTGTTACATCTTGCCCAAATCTGGGCACAGCCAGAGCTGAGCTGCTGTTCCTGCTCCGAGCTGACGCAGGACAGGGATGGCACACACTGACTGGGATGCTGGACCCATCTGGGTTTTCCAGAGCAGGTAATCCTACTTCAGCTGGTCTCTGTTTGATGTCTGAAGTGTCATGAAGCCAAGGGTGGGTTTCAAGGGCTGCCCAGTGAAGTGCTGCCAAAGGGGAGCATCTGTGCACTCACAAGGTCCCACGGAAGGTTGGTTATGCTGCGTTCCTTGGAAAATGGAGAGGGCACATGTAATAAGAAAGTGTGAGATGCAGGGGAAAAAATGAAACTTGCAAGCTTCTGGGCTCGTTTTCAGCATCCCCACAGTCCCACTGCCTGGCTTTGGGCAAGTCTGTTGCTGTGCATGTTGCTTATTCAGCTTCCATTTGGTCTGAGGTACAGAGGCTTTGATGGTTGTCCTGTGTAAAAGCTGGAATTCCTTGCTGTTAATGATTACTACTTTATTGCTTCCAGAGAGGGTGAGCTGTGCTGGGGACTCTGAGCTACTGCTTGTCCTGTTTGGTTTGGATCTGCTTCCAAGAGACTTTTTTTTTTTTTTTTTCCCCTTGAGCTCCAGATGAAATAGGGATGAGGAAAACCTGAGTACTTGGGAGCTGCATACACCCCTCTGGCTGGTCCCCTTCTCTTCTGGGGTATCTGTGCTTTCAGCAGAGACATATTTTTCCTCTCCCTGTCCAGCTGCCTTGCAATAGACTCATTCTTTCCATGGCTTTTTGCCTTCCAGGTAGAACCACAGGCCTGCATGTTCCCATGCCAGTGTCCCTCCCAAGCTCTGCCGTGCCCTGCGGGTACCAGCCACGTGTGGGATGCCTGTGGCTGCTGCAAGGTGTGTGCCCAGCAGCTGGGCGAGCTCTGCTCCTTGCACAGGCCCTGTGACCATCACAAGGGACTCTACTGTGACTTCTCAAAAATCCACAGAGGCAGTGGGATCTGCTTAGGTGAGAGCTGCAGGTTCTGTCCTTGTGTGTTTTTTCCGTGGCGCCTCCCCAGAACACCCATCAGAATTTCCTTGGCGCTTCATCCCGTGCCCTGCTGGGAGATCAGTGCCAGCCTGGGAACAGCAGATCCCCTGGCACACACACGGCTGGTGTCTCACAGTGAGGGCAGTGGGACTCTCCTGTGTCTTGTGACATCCTCAGGGGACATTCTGTACCCTTTGGGCAAATATCAGCAGTCTGAGCTCTTATGAAAGTACTTTCCTTGGAATATCCTACCCTAAATCCCTCTGCCTTGTGCCAGGGATGGGTGTTCTGCACTTGGCTGCTTCTATGCAAGAGGCAAAGTGTATTTCTGGCCATAGCATGTGGGTGGGAAGAGCTGAATAGCTCCTTCACCACATTGTGTCTCTGTGGAACATGAGAATTCCAGAGCCAGGTAATGCAAATGCAGAAACTGCTTTCTCTCCCGACACCTCTTTTCAGCTAGAAAAGAAAAAACAATTTTTTTTTTCAGTAGTTCCTTCTGAAGCAAGCAGAAATTATTTTGGTCTAGAGGAAAATAAAGTATTTCTGCAACCTCCTGGTCTTTGTTTAAAAACAAGACTCCTGTCCCATCTCTGACAGGAGCCAATATTTTTTTCTTAAATTCAAGCTTTTCAAAATAGTCAGGAAGACCTAGGAGTTGGCAGTTTATTGTGAGTACTTAGGGAAATGTTTGGCCACAGCACTGGATGTCTCTGGAAGTGATCCAGCACCAACCTGAGACAGAATCATAGTATCATGGAACAGTTAGCTTGGAAAGGATCTTAAAGCTCTTCTTGAGCCACCCCCTGCCATGGCTGGGGACACCTTCCACTGTCTCAGTTTGCTCCAAGCCTTATCCAACCTGGCCTTGGGCACTTCCAGGACTGGGGCAGCCACAGCTGCTCTGGGCACCCTGTGCCAGGACCTCAACAGCCTCACAGGGAAGAATTTCTTCTCAATATCCCATTTATCCCCAACCCTTGTCTAACTTGTTGGTGTTTCGTCCTCCAAGAAGTTTTTACAAGTTGCTTCATTTTCATTCCCCAATTTGGGGAATTTTTGGAAGCCATGGATTTTTGGAGCTCCTGGTACTTTCTGCAGACATTGAAACACCTGAGAGCTGAGGATTGAAGCATAGTAAGGCAAACACAGGTGTGATGACATCCAGCAGGTGTGAGCTGCATGCTGCCTCATTCCAAATGGGAATGAAGTGTCTGTTTGTAGAGGAAAGGTAGCAAAATCACAGGAACAATTTCCTCAGGAGTGTGGGAGACACCATTTCAAAATCTCTCCATGAAGCCTTGAAATCATTCTAATAAAGGTGCTTTGTATTCACCAGACATCCAGGTTTGATCCAAACATTTTGGAGTGAGAGTCCCAGAACCTGCTGTGGAGGAAATCAGACTTGCAGACACAACTATCCTTCCTGGTTTTAAATAAGAAATTAGGCTTTTCACAGCAAAAACTGCAGTGAACACAGGCCAGGATTTATTTCTAAAATGGGCCGAGGATTTGGGCCGTAATATCCTTGGGTGATGTTTTTATGATGTCCACATGGATCTGTTGGAAGATTTTGGAGGGATTTTGGAGGCACTGAAGGAAGCTGGAGGAGTGAGTCAGAGGAAAGGAAGGATCAATGTTTTGACTTAAATTTATCCAAATAAGCAGATGTGCTAGAAGGAGAAAGGAGCTGAGGCGTCAAGAGAAAAGTGTCTCAGTTGAGACGTGTAGGCTGTATTGGGAGAGATGGGAAGGGAACCCTCAGAGGGAAACTTATTTTATATTTGTGTAATTTTATCACATTCCACATATTTCAGAGGAATCCTTTCCTTCCTGCAGAGACCTTGGAGTACCAGAACGGTAGACAGGATCCTGTAGTAACTCTAGAGTAGGGGTCCTGCAGGTGATAGGGGTGCAGGGAGCTGGTGGAGCTTCACAGAGCAGCTCTTTCAGCGATGCCACATCCCCTGAGGAAAAGGACAAAGAGTCTCCTTGGCTGGGCTTGGTGTTTGGGTGTGGGTGGTGCCAGGCAGAGCCGGGGAATAAAGAGCTGGATCACTTAATGGAGCCTTAATGGGACCAGGTCAGAGGGAAAGGGAGGTCATGGAGGGCAATGAAGGGCACAACAGAGGGATTGAGTTTGGAGGACAAAATCAACCCCTGGAGCAGGCTGCTGTTCTTTGGGAGGGGAGGGAGGAGAGGGAACGGCATGATCTGCTCACTGAGATGGAAGAGAGTGTTTAAAAATAAGTATGAATGGTTGTATAGAGGGAGGGTGTATGGATGGCTTCCACTTTGATGGAAAAAGTGAGGCTTTTGAAATGTCAAAGTTGGAGCACAGGAGTATTTTTATCCCAATGAAATTGTAAAGAGATGCAAGATGACATGCAGGTCTTGATAGGAACAGTCCAGAAGGATTTGTGTCCCCTCGAGGGATAGGGATGGGATGGAAAGAGATTCTTACTCCTTGTTTGATTCAAACACTTTCTATCTGAAACAGTGTCCCTGGGCAAGCAGGACTTAGGGGGAAACAGATCAGGTTTCCTGGGAAGCCTCCACAAGCAGTCAAAAATCCTTCCCTTTTTGGTAACTTCCCCATAGAGGTTTGCATGGATTTTTAAATTTGTTTTTTTTTTTTTTTTTTTTTTAAGATTCAGGATTGCAGAAAACAGCGGCTGCTGAAAACTGTCCAAAATCTAAGATTTCAACATTTAATTTCAGGCTGGGAGAAAAAAAAAAATAAAATAAAAAAAAAATATATATAAGTATTTTTTTTAAAACCTCAGAATTTTCCATGACTTATTTAGAATACTTATCTGGCTGTGCCAAAACTTTCCCTTTCCATTCTATCAAAATATTTCATCATCATAGTATCAAAATAATTACCAGAGCAAAATGCTTCCCTCTGTGGATACTATCCCATGAGTGTTTTGGTTGATCATAAAGGAAATCTTTCATGTCAAATGGTTCAGTTGGTTCTTCTTGAAAACATTCTTGATCTTAGTCAGCTAAGAGATTTTTCCTGGAAAGCTTCCAGTGGGAAAGTTCTGGCCAATGCAGTCATAATAACTTGGGAGCTTTTTTGTAGGAACCTGCAGAGTAAAGGTTCCTGCTCTGTGTCAGATATTGTTTCCTTTTTTATTGCCCATTTAAGTTTTATTGGGAAGGAGGCAGAGACTGGTAGGAGGTTTGGAGATGAGAGATCCAGAGATCAGAAAGGAGAGAACTGGAAAAAATTGGGGCTGGAAGGAGGAAGAGATTTGTGCATCGTAGAGGGGCCAAAAAGGTCGTCAGCCCAAAATGTCATTTTCATTTGTAGGTACCATTTGCATGGGGGAACCAGCCGTTCTTAGAAGAGCGTTGCCTGTTGATATCCCAGGAGTACTGAGGAGCAAAGCCATGCTCACATGCCATGTCAGGAATGTCTTGCACAGCACCACTGACCTGTCACTCTGAGCTGGTTGAGAAGAACTCTGACAGAGAAACAGGCTCTTTACAGACACCAAAGACAAAATCATACTTAGTAGCTCATCCAGGTGGAAAAGAAATTTTTCTAGAGAATTTTGGGAGGACCAGCACTTCTGAAAAATCAGTGTCATGAATAGCCTTGGGTCCAGGGAGGCAAATATGACATATCCAGCACTGGGATGGCAAAGCAGGGGAGGATGGGCTCTGTCCCTCCTTAGGAGAGCACTGTGTCCCCAAGACAGGGCTTCAGCCTTCTGCTTACTCCTCCTTCTCCTCCTCTTCCTCCCCCAGCTCGTGAGGGTGCGACGTGTGACCTGCTGGGCAAGATCTACCTCAACGGGGAGAGCTTCCAGCCCACGTGCAAGCTGCAGTGCATCTGCATGGCCGGGGCCATCGGCTGCGTCCCGCTCTGCGCCGACGACCTGCGCCTGCCGTCCCCAGAGTGCCCTGCGCCCCGCAGGGTGAAGTTCCACAACAAGTGCTGTGAGGAGTGGGTGTGTGAGGAGGGCAGCGAGGATAACCGCTTAGGAACAGCCACGGCAGGTCAGGGGGGCACGTGGGATGGGGCTGGGAGCTGTTGGCTGGGGAAGAGGGGTGGATTTGGAGCACTGACTGGTTTGGGGCTGGGGGTGGCTTTGTGCATCGTCATGATGGGGGTGAGTACCAAGTGTTGGGCTCCAGAGCTAAACACTAGGTCCAGCCCCCCCAGCTGCTCTATCACTCGCCTTCCCAGCTGGACAAGGGGGAGTGTCAGAACCATGTCTGGACTGTTTGGGTCCAATCCGGCTAGCTACGGACCTTAGCCCACATGAGCTTACATGGATGAAAGCAAAAGATTGGAAGTGCTCTTCTCCACTTGGGGACGAATGTCCTCTGCTTATTGACTTGGAGGACACACCTCAGACTCAGGCAACCCCCAAGATGGGAAAGAGTGTGTTGTCTGATGGCGGGAGACTTTTATACCCGGGGAATGGGGGTGGAGGAAGAGGACCATAGCCAATGGGATACCAGTGAGAGGACACTAAACGAGAGAAGAGACCACCAGGGCTGACACTGGGGTGGGGAAGAAGAAGACTGTGTGGTCATAGGATAAAAATCATGTGAACAGTGCAAATTACCAAACACCCACTACAAACAACTAAATAACTATTTAGTGCAATACAACAGGGGAGAAAATAAATGGAAAGTGACTTGTAGTTTATTAAAGGAAAAGTGAAATTTTGTATGTGCACAAGCAAAGAGAAAAATAATAGATTTATTCTTTACTTCCCATCATCAAGTGGCGTCCAGCCACTTCCTAGGAAGCAGGACTTCAGCACATGGAGCAGTTGCACCAGAAGGCAAACATTGTGAATAGCAATTTCCCCCTCCCCCTCTTCCTCCTCCTTTTCTTAGCTTTTATATCTGACCTGACACCATACAGTCTGGAATATCCCTGTGGTGAATTTGGGTCAACTGTCTTGGCTGTGTCCACTCCCAGGATCTTGCCCACTCCCAGCCCCTTGATCAGGGGCGGAAAAGTTGGAGAGACATCACTGATGCTGTGCCAACCCTGCCCAGCAGTAGCCAAAAACACCGGTGTGTTACCAACACCTTTCCAGCTCCCACTGCAGAGCACAGCGCTGGAATGGCTGCTCTGGGAACATCAACTCCAGCTCAGCCGACCCAAAACAAAGTGAAACCTCAGTGGTGCTATGGGAAAGCTGCTGTGTCCTGAAGTGTCCCTGCAGACCTGTCTGGAGCCAGGCTGTGTAGGAAATGGCCCCTGCCCACCTGCATCCCCTTCCTGCTGAGAGGCCAAGCATCTTATGGGATGGGCCAGACCTTTGCTGATGTTCCTGAAGTGTTAAACTGAGTTGGGAGCAGCCATGGAGCTGCCACTCTTTGTGCAAAGCCCTGAGCCTTGCCTTGTGTCTCTTCCTCATGGCTCAGTTTTCAGGAAGGATCCAGCTCACAGGCCAGAGCTGAACAACCTGCAGGAGAACTGCCTGGTGCAGACCACAGAATGGAGCACGTGCTCCCGGAGCTGCGGAATGGGCATCTCCACCCGTGTGACCAACAACAACCCCCAGTGCCGCCTGGAGAAGGAGACTCGGCTCTGCATGGTCCGGCCCTGCGACTTCTCCATGGAGAAAACCAAGGTATGGTGAGGTATGGTGCTGGAGGATAGGGGACACAGCACCCCAAATGCTGGGGACAGCCTTGGGAATGATCCTGGCTCACAGGATCCTGGCTCTATGCTTCCACTTCCTCTGTGTCCCATTGCCCAGTGATGGGGTCAGAGCCTCAATGCATCTTTCCTGTCGTGTCCATGGTAATTCATCTGCTCTCTCCCTAGAAGGGGAAGAAGTGCGTGCGAACCCCAAAGCAGCGCCAGAGCCTCCACTTTGAGTTTTCAGGATGCACCAGCACGCGCTCCTACCGGCCGCGGTTCTGCGGCAGCTGCTCGGATGGGCGCTGCTGCACCCCGTTCCTGACCAGCACCCTGGACGTGGAGTTCCGCTGCCCCGAGGGGGACTTCTTCCAGAGGAAAATGATGTTCATCAAGAGGTGCTCCTGCCACTACGACTGTCCCCGAGACAATGACATCTTCCTGGCCACGTATCACCGTTGGATGATCGGAGACCACGTCAAGATTGAGCAGCAATAGCCCTGTCTTGCCAGATCTGAGGTGTGCAGGAAGGCTCTGGAGTGCTTTCATGGCTGTGTCCTGGCCAATGCAGCCTCTCCCCCTTCTGTGAGGGGCTGTGCTTTCCACAGCAGCACCATTCACACCAGCGGTCCCTGTGGTTTTCCCAATGAGCCAAGGGAGGAGCCGCAGCTGCTCCAGCCCCCTGACCCCCATGCACAGTGTGCAAAGTCAGTGAAGGAACCAGAAACAGGCTTGAGCTGCAAACTTGATCTGTGTTCCTGCTGGCCAGAAGAGAGAGTGGTTCAAGATCATGTGGCTCCCGCCTGTCTCCAGCCCAGAGCACAGTTCCTGATTCAGACCCCAAGAATTCTTCCAGCATTAAAGGGAGTAGACCAGGCTGCCAGACCAAGGTGTGTCCCCTGAAGGTGCTGCTCCGAGCAGCTTTTAGTGCCTTGATGAACATTTCATGGAACCATGGAGTGGTTTGGGTTGAAAGGCTCTTTAAAGCTCATCTTGTTTCAACCCCCTGTCATGGATAGGGACACCTTCCACTAACCCAGGCTGCCCCAAGCCCCGTACAACCTGGCCTTGGACACTTCCAGGGATGGGGCAGCCACAGCTTCTCTGGGCAACCTGTGGCAGGGCCTCACCAGCCTCACAGGGAGGAATTTCTTCCTAATCTTGTCAGAAATGGCTCTGGGGTGGGAGAGGGACTGGGCCACACAAGCTTACACATGCACAGTGAGGCTGCAACTGTTTCAGCTCTGGAGTCTTTGCTCTGGATGTTTGTAAGTAGGAGGAACACTTTTCAGCTCCAGTCTCCCTGGCCATTTTAAAGTACTGGCAAGAGAAATCCTCCTATTTGTAAATGGAGCAGATCCCATCTGGAGTTACTAGGGCAGTGCCATGGGGAGCTGTTGGCACCGGTATCACCAGCAGTGGGATTTCCTCCTGGCCACAGACTTGGCAGAGTCTCTCTGCCCCGAGAGGACCCCATTGCCAGCCCATAGCTCCAGGAAAGGCCTCCAGCAGCCAGTGCCAGTGGTGTGTCCAGCAGCGCCTTGGCAGCTTTGTGGGACTGCTAAGGTCTTGTGAGGTGTGGAAAACCTTCTGATTATTAGCAGAAATATCCAGGTACAGCACCTGATGCTGGTTCTTAAGTCATCCTTGCCTATGACCATTGGAAATCATGAAGAATTTCTCTTCCGGCCAGGCAGGAGCAAGACTTCACCTCACCATATCTTCCTACCCCAAATTAGAGCCTGGTGCTAAGGGACATTCCTAGCTGTCCCCAACTGCTGCCCTGAATTTCCAGGCTGCTGACACACCAGCTCAGGGCCCATGTTCCATCCCAGCCTCTGTTCTTTCTCTCAGCCTGCAGCAGCTCATGAATCCTCACCCTCCTGTAATCAATTTGAACTGTAAATAATTTATCTGATATTGTTTCTAAGGCCTTTGTACAGTCCCAGGATCCTGTTGGCACAGCCCTGCTCAGGCTGTTACTCCTCTCTGAGCTTCTCTCCTGCCGTTCATACAGTTGCTGAGTCTCAAACCATCCTGAGGTTGCACTTTACTAAACGCCAATAAATATCTCTATTTTTTATATCTCTGAACTCATCCCTTTGTGTGAGGCACCTGCCTGGTTCCTCTGCTGACCTTTCCCCAGTGCTGGGATCTTCTGTAGAGTTGATGGCTGGGTACTGAAGAGAAGGGGGTGACAGGTTTTTTTTCCTGTTCCCAAATAGCAGCAGGATTGATGTTAGTGTTTCACAGACACCTCTGCAGCCCACAAAACACAGCTCCTCCCTCCACGGCCTGGCGGGGGGACAAGCAGAGCCCCCCTCTGCCTGCTGAAGAACCCACAAGTCCTTAATACCAGATTAAAAATAACTCTGAGAGCAGATGTGAACAGAAGTCAGTGATAACAGGGCCAGAACGCGAGGGGCTTTGCAGTGGCTTAACAGCTTATGGATTCATCCCCCTCTCATCACATTAGCAGGGACTCCCCCCTCTCCCACTCCGCAGGGCCAAGAGGCTCTTCCTGCTCCCAAACCTTCAGCCCCACCGGGGAAGGCTTAGGGCTCCCAGGGAGGGGGAACAAACCCCTGTCGGGCTTGAGCTGCGGGGTGTTGAGGTTCTGAGCCCGGGGCGTGCTCCGGCCCGCGCGCCTCTGAGGGCTGCAAAGGCCCTGGCGGAGGCAGCGAGGGACACACGGTCACGGTCCTCGCCAGCGTCCCCGGGCGGTGACCATTAGATGGCACTAGGAATCTCCCCATGGAGACACCCCGTCCCCAGGGCAGGGTACAGTGGCGTAACCCCGGGTAGCCCCCGCCAGGAGCGCCCGCTGGCTACTGCAGCCCAGTCCCGGCACCCAGCGCCATCGCAAGGCCGCCACCGCCAAGCCAACGGAGACAGCAGCGAGGCCCTCGGCGCTGGGGCCGAGTTCCATCCAGCCGCCGCCTCCGTCCCCGTCCTCGCGGGGCCCTGTTCCACCTTATCGCCGCAGCCGCCGCCTGCGCGGCACCGATAACCCGGGCGTGGCCCCAGGGATGGGGTCGGGGTTGGGGGCGCTGCAGTGACCCTGACGCCCTCACTGGCTCCGGCCGCGCTGCAGCCTCCTGCGGTGGTCTCAGGATGGGGACACCCCCGGCTCCTCCAGCCTCCAGCAAGGACGGGGTTTTCCCTAAGAAAACTTCGGAAAATAGTGAAAATGAGCAAAAATATCTCCAAAAGCCCTGATTCTGCCGGTTTGGGGAGCTTTGGGGCTCTGCCAGGATGCGGGGGGAACCCGGGGGGGAGGGACTTCTCCTTATTGGACCTATGACGTCACGGGGCGCAGGAGGAATCTCTTGGCCCCACCCCCCGCCCGTCACCTGCGGGCCCCGCCCACTGCAGCGGCGCGCGCTGGCCTCGCCCCCTCGGCGCTCTGACGGGCGGGGGCGGCAGCCAGTGGGCGCGGCCAAGGGGGCGGGGCTCGTGTGGTGACGTCAAGGGGCGGGGGCGGGGCCGGTGGTGCAGGTGGAGGCAGCGCGGAGCGGAGTGGCGGCCCCGGTGAGCGGGGGCAGGTGAAGTTTCTCGGGTGTCAGGCCTGTTATGGGGCGAGAGAGGTTTTGAGGGGAGGGTGAGGGCTGTAGGGGTCAGGCAAGTTATGGGGTGCGGGGATGCTGTGGGAGTCCTGGGGTGCTTTGGGGGGTATAGGGATCAGGCAAGTTCTGGAGGATTTGGGGCTCCCTAGAGGGACCCATGGTGGGTCAGTCTAGTCGTAGGCTGCGGGGTTTTAGGAACAGTTGTGGTGCTGTGGGGGCACATGGGGGCTCAGGCTGTTTATGGAGTGGAGGGGTTGCCAGGGGACATGGGGTGCCATGAAGCAGGGGGTCTCCAGTGGGGTCAGGCTGGATGTGGGGTGATCTGAGGCTGCGGAAACCAGGGGCACCCGTAGAGGTCAAGCTGGATGTGAGGTGGTTTAGGGTGCTCAGGGGTGTGGAGGGGGCTGGGGATGTCAGTCTAGGTGTGGGGAATCCACGGTGACTGAGGTGTGAAGCAGGGGGTTGTGGAAATGGGTGATGTTCGGGGGATGGAGGAGACTAGGCAAGCACCTGCAGCGCTCTCAGGAAGCCCATGGGGCAGAAGGGAAGTGAGGTGCTCTGGAGTGGGGAGATCCCCAGTAGGGTCAGGCTGGGTGTGGGGGGAATGGGGTGCACTAGGGCCGTCCTAGAGACTGAATGGGGCTACAGGGGAGGATGTGGGGTGGAGGGCCACCCACAGTGGATTCATGCTCAGGGGATGGACGGGGCCCTGCCTCACGGGGAGTGGCCAGCACCGGGATGTTTCCCCCCATGCTGTTGTTTCCTCTGGTGCAGTGGAGGGGAAAAGGCAGGTACAGCCTCGGAGGTGGGGTCCCCCCTGCACCCACAGTCACGGCAGCAGCACTGGTGTCCCTTCCTGGGAGGTGGCAGCTCCCGCTTTGCCATTTGGGTCCAGCTCTGTTTCTTGGAGCATTCGGTGTTGCTGGGGCTGTACCAGAGATGCAGCAGCTCAGCCTGTGGCTTCGGGGTGGCCGCGATCCCTTCCCGAGACACCGTCTGTGCCCGCCGGACGGTTCCCAGGGCCGGCGGCAGCGGCCGAGCTGCGGGGCGGCGGGGGCTGCTCCTGCCGTCGATCCCAGCCCCGGCGCCGGTCGGGGCCGCGCCGAAGCCTCGCATTGATTTCCCCACCCCCTTGGGGGAGTCGATGTTTTCACGTCCCCTTCTCGACGGGGACACTTTGCGCTGATGATGCAACCACAGGCGTGTGCGGCGTGCCCGGCCGTTCCTGCAATCTCTTCCTCGCCTGAATTTCGCCCTCTTGCAGTGGTGGTGGGACGAGAGGCTGGTGAACCTCCTCCGGTGAACCTGCTCGTTAGTTGGTGGCGTTGGCTGTGCCGGTGGCGGGTCCGAGCGGCTGGTGGGATGGCAGGGGACAGCGGGGGACAGTGACTATCTTTAGGGCTGTGTTGCAATGGAGGGGTGTGCCTTGGCTCGGCGCTGCCGGCAGCCGCCTCCTCGCCCGAGGATTGACTTACGCCGAGGCTCCCGCATGGGGAAAACCAACACTTGCTGTGCGGTTTGTGTGAGCAGAGGGGGGCTGTGGTGGGGCTGTGAGGCTGAGCCAGGGGTCGGACAGCATGGGGGCTGGTGTCGGTCACACATGCCCTGCATGAGGTCAGGCTGTGCGAGGTGTGCAGGGCTGAGGCTTGGGCCCGGCGCTGTCATGTGTCACACATGCTCTGCCACTGCCTGGCAGTGGGAACAGCTGAGCTGGAGCAAACGGCCAGCATGGGAAGGGTTGGGGAATCTCTGCTGCTTCGTGGGAGAGAAGTTGCCCTGGAGCACGGGAGCAAGTTGGGTTCTTGCAAGGTGCATCCCAGAACGTTCCCATCCCTGTGCTCCCTTCCTGAGGCTTAGTGGAAGCACAAATGCAGCTGTAGGAGAGAGCTAGAGTCAGGTCTCTTTTGAGTCCTGTTTCTGCCAGAGTAACCTGGTTACTCCGCGGGAGAATAACTTGCACCAGAGTTGGGGTGACATGGAGATGCTGTGTTTGGCCTCTGAGCCATTGTCCTGCTCATGGCCACTGTGCCTGTGGTGGTACAGCTGCACCATGCCTGTCTCTGAGAGGAGGCAGCTGAAACTTGCGGAACAGTTTGCATCCCCCATGAGTGCAGTTCCTCTCCCAGTTCCGGGGCCTGTGTACATGTGGGTCTCCTCCAGCTCGTGGTGCTGGCAGCCCCTCAGTTTCTCTGACAAAGTGGGGCACATGCTGCTTCTGCTTGTGGTGATGATAACGGCAAATCAGCAGAAGCAAAAAGTTGATCTGTGCATCAAACTGCTTCCTATGGTTGTGCTCAACATGTTCTGTGGATGTGGGCCTCTCCCGTCCCTTCACTTTGCTTTTCCTCGTGCTTAGGAACAACTTCAGGCCTTTCTGAGAGGGCTTGAAACCCGCTGAGGAGAGAAAGTGCCTTCTCATCTGCAGCGGTGCTGCTGGGATGAGGCTCCCTGTTCCTGACGCGCAGCCTGGCAGCTGCTGGAATTGCCTGCAGCCGCATTGCTCCGCACCGCACTTTCCCCCAGGCTGGCAGGGTCCTTTCAGAGCCAATGGCAGGGAAAGGATTTCTCAGAGAAAAGGCAAAACGTCAGCTGCTTTCCAAGGAGGGCACCTTGGAGTTATGTCACTATTTAATATATAGCAAGGTTTTTCTGAGCTCCCTCCCCAGCTGTTCCCCAGAGGGGAAGGCAAGTTGCAGGTGGTCTCTGTCCCAGAGGGCAGGAATTGTCCTGTCTCTGCTAAGCTCTGTTTCACCTTTGCATTCACAGCTGCAGGAAGAGGCTTCAGGCTGTGGTGGCTGGAAGTTTAGAGTCATAACTGGCTCTTGGCCACGCTGGATGCTGTGGCTGGAGATGTGATTTGGGAAGGGGGAGGAATTGCCTATCATTAGCCCAGAGGTGTCTCTCACTGAGCTGCCCGGGAAGGAGGGGGATGTCTTGGTTGTCCTTTTTATGAGTTTTGCTTCATGCAGTGATTTGTGTGAGCTCTGAGCTGGGATTCCCCAGGAAGGGCTGCAGTTGGTTGTCCCTGTTTAGCCTGGGACTAGCACCCGGCGGATGAGCAGTCTCACACAGCAGTTATCCCAATGAGGCTGTGATGGTTCGGGTCCCTCATATTGGGACTTTGACATGCCATCCCATTCTGAGCTGGTGGGAACAGCCAGGGTGGGCTGGCTGGGGCTCTGGGGTCTGGCCAAAGCAGCCACCATGGCTGCCCATCTCTCCCCACTAGAGGCTGCTGATGACCAGAGCATTTTCCATCCCTGCTCTGAGAAGGCACTGGGGTCTGGAATTTGCAAGGCTGAGCATCCTGAGCTTTTCCTGCTGATTCACCCTGGAGACAGCAGTGTGCTTTCCTTGTCAATGGCTGGGTT